TTACGGATTTATGTAACGCATACGGAAAAATGTGTGAAAGAGAGATAGACGAATTTATTTGCTCTGCATTTACTTTACTCCGAATTTACTTACGACTTTACACGTTTCCGGCGAGACGAGATTCCATCCAAGCGGCAGTCATGTGCAAGTGACGTGGAAGCGACACAAACGGCTGTATGAAAATACTATTTCAGTAGGGAATACATGAAAAGTAATATGGAAACACTATGGAAATGACGTTGATACAGACGAAGTGCCCAACGTCTCACGTTTTTTTTTTCTCTTCCAAGGGGCCGTTAAGAAAAGCCGTGCTCATCCTCGAAGAATTTATGAAACACCGCACAAAGGAGCGGTTTAATTGAAGGATTTAAGATGCGCGAGGAAAAAAATGTACCTCATCGTCTTTAATAAAGAGCGAGATAAAGAGCTAGGAAATTTCTTATCGTCTGTCAAATTACATGACAAAGTATCACGAAGGATACAAGGAGGATAAGGAGACTGTGCTTAATGAAATAATGATATGTACGTAAGATTCTGTTTCGAACTATTATACATAATTTAGCGTTTTCCGCTTACACGCGCGCAAATGGAACAAAGCTTACGCGGCAGGGTATAATTTATCGACGAGCAGATACGGGCCAAGCCGCAGAGCATTACATGTGTTATCGAAGTGATTCGTATGCACCGTGCAATTCAAATATACATTCGAGTTAGGGTCGCGCATCTCTATATAAAGTTTATTGGAGAGCTGCAGCAATGTAGCTTAAAAATGAAAGAGGCATATTGTGAATTATCAAACGCACAAGGAAAAAAACGTAAAATAGTATCGAGAGGAAAGCCCCTATGAATAAGTAGTTTCGCTGCGTCAATAAATTATATTCTATCGAAAGCCTTCTTTCTCTTTGACGAAGTAATGCACGACGAGTTACTTTTGCTTAAATCTTGCACAAGTGCGAAGGAACAAAATCTGATGGAAAAAATGCAGGAATAGTTATAAGGTCTGATATAGCCGTGAGCTTAAGCGTAAAAGTGAAGTGGTATAATGGAAAGTTAACACTAGAAGTATTAAATGGTTATTATTGACAGTTTTAACTTTTCAGATTAATATTATATTTTTTTGTGTAAAAGAATTCTGAAATTTTTTGACTTTTGAATAGTTAGTCCTTTATATTGATGAAATATTTGGTCTTTCATCATTTTTATGGTAACTTATGATTTTTATAGGTTTTTCATTTTCTAGTTAACTTGAGGTTTGAGCCTAAGATACAATTGAAAAGCGATAGGAGCAGGGAATAACAAATTTTCAACTTATTAGAAACTATGTATTCTCGTATACATAGTTTCTGACAGATTGAAATCTGTTGTTTCCTGTTTCTATATTGCCAAATATTGCTTTTCAATCGTGTATGTGACTTAATTTGTTTGTGCCCGTTTCTACCAAGATAATTTAATTTTAATTTTGATAATTCAACTAAATCATATTTTTCTAATTTTATGAATTAGAAAACTATGAAGAGTCTATAACAGAGTCTGGCTACAAGATGACAAATTTTTAATTAACCCATTATTCTTGTCAACTTCAGTTAGAATAAGATAGCATCTATAAAAGGAGACAGTACGTGTACTCTTCTTTTCCACTCTTGTTCCGACAAAATTGCTCGTTTCCATCAATATAGATTAACTTTGATCTCGGTTCAACTTATTCTTCATCCTTTTCTAATTTTCAGAACTGGAAAAAGATGAAGATTAACTTGAATCAAGATTAAAGTTAATCTATATTGGTGAAAATGGGCATAAGCTTAATCACAAGTTGTTCAGAAAATGAAAAACCGAGTCTCGTCGAGTAAGAAACGTTGGTACTTCTGGCGTTAATGAGTTCACGATGCATATAATTATTCTTTCCGCCGAGTAATCAAACGTTAATTAGTCCGGGTAAGTTCGGGGAAATTCGCGACGTGTCAGGCGTTCTTCTTCCCGCAGCACCTCTCGTTCGTTGGCTGACGTTTTTCCGTATTATCGTCGCGCCTGGCGGTCGACTTATCAGTCTCGCAGGCGGCGTGTCGTCCCGCCGGGCACTTCGTTCGCGTCAACCCCAGAAACATGGCAAACTTCTTGTGCTTTTTCGCACGCGGCACCGCGCTCGTGCCGGGGCAGAGTGTGCCGGTCTCTTGTGTCCTCACTTTGACGGACGACTGCACGGTGTGCACCAGTAGCAACGGGCTGGAGCTCTTATCGAGCGCCGGGGACGTCTCTACGGGAAATTTATGAGCCAAAACTTGGACGCCCTTGTCAGACTGCTCCGGCTTGGAGATCGCCGTGGCGGCCGCGATCGCCAGCGTGTTTTGGGCGCACAAGTAGCAGCAGCTCTTCGTGAAGTCGTTCACGATCGATGGCGGTTTCATGGGAACCTGTTTCTTGACGACGAGGTCATCGTCGTGCGTCACCGGACGTGTATCCACGGGCGGCGGGACGTGCTCATTGAGTTTATGGTTTACTTTCTTTCTCCTCTCCTTGTCTGTCACTTCTTTCCGTCTCCTTTCTTCTTTCTCTTCCCTTCTCTCCCTTCTCTCCTTTCTTTCGTTCTCGACGATGTCCTCCTTCACTGCCTCGTCTTGTTTATGAGGTCTCCTAGACTTGTTCGCGACGTCTCGATGTCTTATCGATTCTCGATGCGGCATAGTTGATACACCGGCGACCGCCACCACATCGTTAGGCTTCTCCTTACTTCGTTTCTTTATATGTTTGACAAGGTGTCTCTTTCTCAAAATGTGTTGGGAAACGTGTCTTTTCTTCGCCCGGCACAAGTTCAGACACCATTTAACGCAGGATTTCGACTTGCGTCTGCGTGGCAAATTGATGTCGCGCGTATCAACGCTCTTATGTGTTTGCTCCTCGGAATTTCTCGTTATATGGTGGTGGTGATCTTTCTTTTGTGATCTATCGTAGACATGCCATTTACGATTAGCGTTGGGCTGATCTGATGGCATCGCTGTGAATTCAATTTAAGAATTGATATCTTGATCCGATAATGGTCGCAAAATGCGATAATTATGTATATGTAAGTAAAAGGTATCAATCCTCCAAAGCTAATGTCAAAATCTATAACAGTTAAGCTAAGTTTGTGAGATCCATTTAATTTATACTGGTTAAGAGACTGCACTAATTAATTTAAAGCCCAAAATACTGCCCAAAATAATTTAACTTATATAAAAAAGAATACTAACAATAAATTTGTTTAAATAAACGAGAAAAGCGATATTTAATTAAAGTAGATCTAAGTCTATTTTTATTAATTTGAGATACAATAATTTCGTTTCTGAAAAATATGACTTTTATGGAAAGAAAAATCAATTATTACATTTATTACTCCACGACATTTATAGAAGAACATCAATTATTACTCCACGAAAATAGAAGAGAATCAAAAGAAACCCAACAGACGTCTAAAATTATTTTGAAAAAAAAAATATATATATATATTACTCTCTTTCACACAAAAGTTTTTTTCTTACTGTAAAAATGTAAAAGTCTCACACGTAAAAATATTTCAAATTTGCAGATATAACATATATAAACATGTTACAAAATATAATTTTGAGCGGATGTAATAAGTTCACCATCAGCTCCGGAGGATTAATATAAATGAAATGACAATTATATCCCGAGAGTTTCTTGAGAGTATTTAATACTCTAATTAAATGAAATCATTTATTTGTTTTCACATGTCCCGACGCATATACTACTGTATTGTTTTTGATGTATTAAACTCTGATTTTGGATTTTTACTACAAAAAGAACAATGGTACTCGCAGCATTGAAAACGAAAATGAAGTAGGAACATACCGAGAAAATGGAGTTATTTTTCAGGCTGATTCAAAGAGTTGAATATATATGTTGCTTACTATTAGATCCATACGTTGAGGAATACGCAGCATTTTGCGATAAATGCATTTTGCGTTTCGTTGTTGCATTTTTCGAAGCAGATATTTGTTCCTTAGGACGTCGTGATGAATGATCGTTGTGCCAGGTGATGTGTGAAGATCGATCTGTATTTACAGATTCACCCGAATTCACTGTAGAATTCATTTTCATCCAGACGGATTTTTTTGGGTTCCATTCGTTAAGGATTTAAAAGATTAATAATAGATAAGTAGCTTTTCTGTATATAAATTACTGCTCTCAATTTACATCTAATCAATTATTTCTTCCAATCGTCGGGCCTTCGAAGAGAAAAAGAATATAATGTAGATAAATATACAATTTTCAATTTTTTTTAGTTCTACTAAAAGTAACTTTATTAACTCTCTAATTAATTTAATTGTCGAATCGTAGATAGAAAGGTTAATTCATTAAGATTAACATATCGCATTTTTATAAAAATGAACAAACGAAATTATATTAATATGTCTATTTCATTCCAAAATAATGATTTTTACTTCTTAATAATAAAAATGGAATTGGCGTGGTCCCTTTCTATTTCGTCATATTGAAATGTCATGTCTTAATTGGTGAAATTTCTGTGTTTAACCAAAACTGTCAGTGTCTTAATTCATTGCTAAGAACTTTGCCGCAAGAAGAGACGTCTATTAACATATATTGAGATTAATTCCACCAATTAAGGACTAACCGCAAAAAAAAGAAACACCAGCCAATTTATTCATTAAATAAATAAATAAGTTGCCTTAAATATTATGTCGTAAGTATCATTTCTCTGTAGCAGTAAAAGAGAATTTTCTTTATCGCTTGTATGAACGGAAATTTAATTGCCTTGTAAATAACAATTTTGATGACATTGCAGTTTGTGATTCATGCCACCAGCTCGTCGTACGATAAAATATGATAAAGAACTCTCTCTAAGATTAAAAGAATATGAAATAAAAATGTCAAATTAAAATTTATTGAACTTGAAATTGATAAAGAATTAAGGGCAATAATTTAATTGCGAATAAAACATGCATGTATCTCATCATTACGAAAATCTGTGTAAAATTTGAGCTAACTTTGCTTTTAAACAAATATTCTTATTTTCGCGGATTAAAGTGGATCTTATACATAGTGCTTAAGTTTTCTGTATGAATTTATATGATACATATCTAATTTAGCAAATTACGCGTCAAAATCTTTTTCAGTCTTGAGCAAATCCGGAGTAATAAATTTCTTATTAAATTGACAAGCAATTTAATAGATATTTTTTCATGCTAATTAATAAGCATCTTAAAATGAAGAATATTAATAATCAGATGTTAATGAGAATCTTAAATCTGCGAATAATTTTACTGTCTGAAAAATAATTGCGTCAGCAAAGATAAGATAGCACATGGAGGCACTAAGGGTAACATTTTCGGATGCAACCCAACACATGTAAATAAATATGCGGGGGCGAGATCAGATCGAGCGACGTGAAGGCAGTCACGAGCGTTACGCTGCGCCGCGTCAATGCCGGGTGACGTCACGTTGGAAAGCACGATGGCGGCTGCGCCGTGCGGTAGCTGGCGCCATCTCGCGCCGTCGTTTCTCGGGCGCCCGGAGACAGTCAGGCGGTTCGCTCGCATCGCGTACGGACGTTGCAGCTGGTCGCAGTCAGGGAGGTCGAAGGTGGTAGGACTGTGTCAGTGGCGACGGTGGCGACTGTTCGCGCGCGCACGACTTCCCTCCAGTCCCCGTGAGCGTGTGTGTGTGTGTGTGTGTACATGTTTTGTTGCCGTTGCAATATGCGTTCGTTAAATATCGAGTGGCTGTTGTCGTCGTCCTTGTCGCGCCGTGCGTGAAGTAAACGGCAGCAGGGAGAGCCCCCGCCGTCAGCTGTTTGCGAGCCAGCACGGGCCTTGTCATCGACGCGGAACGGCCAAACGCACCGCGAAGCCGTGGGGAAAGCCAGGAGAGGAGGCGAGACGGAACGGCGAGAGAGCGAGCGAGCGAGCGAGCGAACGACGCGCGTGAAGTTAGTCGCGGAAGTCAGTCTACGAGGGGCGGACCGAATTCGTGCACGGTGTCGTGCGTGTGCGCGAGTTGCGTCGGTCGACACTCGGTCGTGCGGTGTCCGCGTGCGAGGCGCGATTCCCGACGGGAAAATAATGGCGTAGACCTCGGGCCGTGCTCCGGAAACGAGAGAGAAAGAGAGAGTGTGTAAGTCACGAGAGGTGAACGAGCAGAAAGAGGAGGAGAAGGAGAGAACGGTAACAACGAGGGAAGAAGAGAGAGAGAGAGAAAGAGAAGGAGACGCGCGCCGCGTTCATATTCGCGTCGTGGCGGTGGCCGTATCGAGAGCGCAGCCGATTGTTCGCGTCGTCCTCGCCGTCGCCGTCGTTCACATACACAGATTATCTCACCGCGGAGACGAGCGCCGAGTAACTCATCATCATCGTCGTCATCGTCGTTGTCGTCGTCGTTGTCGTCGCGGTGATCGAGACGAGTCTTCGTCGTGTCGTGTGCAGTGCTGCTGGAGGGCGAGAAGGGTGCGAGAGAGAGAGAGAGAGAGAGGGAGAGAGAGAAAGATAGAGAGGAGGTGGTGCTAAACGGCGTCGTTCTTTCCCCGCCGCCCCCTGTTGCGGTCAACCCTGTTGCTGGCGTCGCGTCGCGCCTACCTCTGAAGTCGGGCTTTCTGTTTTGTTTGTGTTCCTGTCCTCCGCACGGGGTGCACGCGCGAGGAGGAGGCGGTGGTGCAGCGGAGGCCGACGCCAGGTATCCCAGCTCGGCGCGTGTCCCGACTGCAGCGGGGAATATTGTATTACGATGATCAGTGACACGTGCGGATACGTTCTCTTCCTGCTGCTGCTGCTGCTGGTCCCGTACATCGAGAGCGGTGAGTGTCTCCAGCCTCTCCACTGGCTTTTGTACAACGAGCTGCTTCTACTAACCAAGTCTTTATTTAAGTCTTAAGTCGTAAAAAATTGATCAATCATAGTCATTACTATTGTTACATTTAACTGTGACTGATCGATTTCTCGCGGCTTAAGACTTAATGCTTAAGCGATGGCTTATTGTATACCAGAAATTCTACCGTTATGCTATTCCGGTACACGTAGTTCGTCGGCTTGCAAGAGATGGGCGCGCAAGACGTGACCTGCTCGCGAATTTTGTGTGCGTGGCGTATATGCATACGTTCGTTCGTGTGCGTGCGCGTCTCTCGTGAATCATCATCCTTTCACGAGGAGCCCGCCCGTCGTCGCGTGTCTCCATGCACGTTCGTTCTTTTCGAACGAAATAGCGTGCGATCGCTAAAACCGTGTTGCACGACACGTCGCTGGATCATCGTCGGATTTTTCGTTCTCTTCGAACGATCACGATGCGACCGTGAGAAAAGTGAGGTGTGGAGTTAGCCTCGGATTTTTTAATTGTTTTAGTACTAATTTATTTTAGTACTAATCGCTAACTGGATTTAAAAAATGTAATATCCGTTTATGCAATAGAACTAGAATTCTTAGAACTAAAAATAGATAAAGAGTTAGTTGAACCGAGATTAAAATTAAATTACATCGATAGAGTCGAGTAGTTCTTAGAATTGGAAAAAGATGAAGAGTTAGTTGAACCGAGACTAAAATTAAACTGAAACAAGCATACGATAATCTCTACACTCTTTATAAAAACAAGCTAAAACTCTAATTAGAATTCTCGGAACTATGGTTTCGGAGCTAACTTCACACATTCAGAAAAATATCGGAGTCTCATTAGAGTAACGCTCTATTCTTCAATTTCTTTATTAGTGCAGCCTATTCTTTTGTCTGATATTCGTTTTTGTTATGCATGCGTGATATAAATTTATAGTGAATTTTATGCACTAAAAAAAAGGATCTGATAATAACACTAAATGTTAAATAAAATATTTGAATAAAATGTTTGGTTAACAATCGAAAATAATTTTACTAATTAAGTAAGAAAAATTCTATTTAATATTTTCAATCAAAACGAATCTTTTAACGCTTAAATATTTTGATTTTTTTCAGTCTTGAAATGCAATTGTTATAATCTTAAAATTTGAACTGGAAATTATATTATGTATATACGTTCACAAAAAATATTATCAAGTACGAAGAATGGGCTCAACTGAATATTTTTCACTTTGTGTGTTTAATCTTATATCTATTTTAACTTAATATTAAATAATTTTACTTTTCTAAATATTATTTATATTTAGTAGGTATTAACGATTATATTATCATGCTTGGTAATATTTACTAAATATCTAGAAAAACAAAATTATTTTTTATTGTATACACTACTCGAATATTTATTATGTAATTAATAGTACTTAACATTTAGTAGTTATTACAAGATTCTTTTCAGTATGCACTTGTGAAATTACATATAGAGCCTTATTTTCGAAAAATATCACATACGAAAATACTATAATACACGTTACGTACATTATAGATTTTTAAAACGCGATATATAAATTCAAGAATAATCAGAGTAGTACATTGCGGATTAACTGCGCAATAATTAAGTCGAATGTTTTAAAATGTTTCATGTTATAACAGAGTTTACTACGCAGCTTTTTTTATCAGACGCAAAGAAGCTGCAAAACTCACCTTTAAAAGCAGAATAATGAGCTTTAAAATTGTTCATTATCGTAATTATTACGCGTTTTATTCAAACACAAGATAACTACAGTATATCTCATCTTGTAATAATTTATCTTAATAACGCGTTTTTTGAGAAATCACATTTTTCAAAATTCACAAAAATATTAAAAGTGCAATCGTATGTGTAAATCACGCAAACAATACAAAGATTCCAAACTATGAAAAGTATAGGGTAACTCCGGTATATACGCCGCACCTATCAAAAACTTCATTTATTAAGTATTATTTATGTTTAAAGTAAACGAACTATATCAGTAAAAACTTTGTACTGTCTACTACCATGAAAGAAATATTAGAAATCCAAAATATTTATTTTTCATATTAAAAAATAAATTTTTTGAAACCC